ATCAAAACTGGCAAACAGCAAACGTATTCCCTTAATAAAACATATAATCATAGTTTCATTTGTGCACAATCATGACAGCAAAACCAAAAACCGGGCAAAACTCACCACTTTTTCTTAAAAAAATAAAACACAGTTCGATATGCGACTCAGGTTCATGAAATGTCTTGTAGAGTTAGTTCTAAACGTCTTTCCGTCAACCTGGGTCACCTCTTGCACACATTATGGGTGATGTCTGGTTTCAGATGGAACCATTACTAAACTTCAGTATGCTGAGATTTGCTTTGAGTCTTAGAGCTTACTCATATTGAAACTTGGGAGATATAAACTGAAATAAAAATCCCACATTCAAAGAGTTGCCTGAAAGTTGAAACCAGCCAGCCTCAGGCAGCTGCAGCCACTGTGATCCTATGACCAAAGTTTCTGAGAGGCTTACCCTCTGTGAAGTCATTAACAGAGTAATTGCCCCAAGTTTTTATAGGCACATCAACTGGCAATGATAGAACATGATTTAATTTTTTTGGTCTTCTTGCTTATGATTCGAATTTATTCTTTGTGTGTCTTGTTCCAGTACCATCAAAAGAAAAGAAAAAAAAATTAGGGAGGTAGAGTGCACATCTCTCAATTCCAGAAAGCACATTCTCACTCTGATGTTTCTGATATAGAATCTTAGAGTGGACTTAAGAGGAGCCAGCTGTGTGGGAGCACATATTGATGACTTGGTTGGCAGTGCTTCCCCGCTGAGTGCCAAGCTACAGATGCACTCCCAATCAATTCCCACACAGCTACAGTTCAGTGAACTATTTTGAAAGAAAGGAGCATGGCACTGGGGGCTGTGAGATCCAGAAACATCAGGGCAGGGTCCAAAGAGAGCATATCTCCAAACAAAGCAGAGTGGCAGTAGACCTAAAGAGGCAAAGTGACAAGAAAATAAGGAAGACATAAACTAAGGCAAAGTGTGTGTGCGTGTGTGAGTGTAAAATAGATATGCTAAAAAGAGACATTGGTTTCTTATTAACATTGTAAAGTGAGTTTGTTAGTTGTAAGATAAAATACAGGGGATTGCCCTATGCAGTGGAGACTGTATACTGGTTGTTGAATTAAATGAAATGGAATAAACAAATACAGATCTTTTAAAAAAAGGACAAATATGAAACCAACAAAAATTGAAAATATTTACATACAGAATATGCAATCACTTTTAGTAAAATTTTTAAATAATAACAAAATCTAATTATATAGCAATTACACCATGCAAACTGATTTCATTTACATTTTACCTGTGAAATTGGATGTTATGTTCTGCAATCTCTTTCTCGCATTCAAGGTGGTCCTCTGGGGGTTTTCTCTGTGTTTATAAATATGTATATACACTTTTCATCTCCTAAATGGGACCTTCTGAAGAATAGAAAAAAGTCTTAAGATAATTTAAAAATGCAAAATATTTTATATTTTTTTAAAAAATAAGTTAGAATTCACCTTTTAAACTTCAAAAGGAAAAATATTTAATTTTTATCTAGTTTAAATGCTTACATTGATTGACAATGTACAAAAGTTCCCTCAAGATGATAATTTAAAACTCAGTATCAAGTGATTTTAAAAACAGTTTTCTAGAACAAAAATAGGAGAGCCTGTTTTTGTTTCAATGCCATCAATTTTTAACTCAATGATATAAAAATAGGCAGTTTATTTAAAAATTCTCAGTGTTTTCTTGATGTTTACTGTCTGTTGTTAAATTGGGAAACAATTTCTACCTAAGACAATGTAGGTAGAAATTCACAATGAACTAAAACCTAAATGTTACTTTTTTTTTTTTAAGTAAGCATCATGGAATAAATAAATCAGGATCAATGAACAAACGTGGTCATATTTAACAAGGGCAAAATGCACACATACGTTTTTAATGGGTTTTATAGGACATAAAAGATAAGATAGTATAGAAAAAAATCTCAGAGCTAGAGTTTCTAAGTGGAATATGAGTCATTTATAATATTGCAAAGTTCCTCTAGAAAGTCTCTGAGACAAGTCACTTTCTAAGGTAGCCCAGATACAACTAAGTAGGTAGAACAATTCAATTGCACGTAAGATTATAATCAAAGATACATTTTGCCTTAGGCAGTTTCATAGATTATATTTTTATAAATATACATTTCTTTTCATGTAAATTTTAAATAATATTATACAACAGTTACTCTTTGATATTTACTTAATTCACATAACCTCAATTTTCTCATTGTTTCTTTCAATCATGTTGTGAGGTTATTTTCCCATTTTGTAGACAAGAATCCTCTGCACATGATGGTGAATGACAATACTAAAGCAAAAACCATTTATTTCAATCTCTACTTTTCTTGACCCACCTACTTTATGGAGTATAGTGCTGCATGGATATTATGCACTTCATATATACTTCATGATCGATTGATTGATTAAAACTTAATTAAGGTTCTCATTCTGTGAGATTCCTACAACAGCATCTAAGAAAACAGAATGAACATCTCCTATTTTTTGAAAGCTTCCTGTGCTTTTTCTATCTTTCCAGGATTTAAACCCAGCAATGGTGATATCAGCAAACCTCCCCCGAGGTAAAAATATCTTTCTCTTTCTCTGAACCCCTTCTCTGTCCCCATGACACCCTGCTCAATGAAGTGCAAACAATCGACGGGTTTGCTATCAGTAAATGAGTGCCTCTTCTACGAGGCAGAGAATGTGGAGAATAGGCCTGGACTGTGAGGGGCTGAGGAAGGATAGCTGGCATACAACTTCACTGGCACATCACTTCCCACCTGCTCTAGACCTCCTTTTGCTCATCTGCAGAGTGATAGTATTTGAAAGGTTAATTCTAAGATTCTGTCTAGCTCTCATAATCTCTGCTTCTATTTATAACGTCTTTATTTCTTGGGGTAGAGGGTGGGAGAGCATTCAAGGAAATAAATGTTCTGAAATACAGTTTGTTAAACTCATTCCAAAGAAGCAAAGATTCCATTTTTCTCCTCAACTGCTTTCTTGTTTTAAGGTTTATATTTTCAAAATGATGCTTTCTGAATAAATATATGGCGGCAATAAAACCAGTCATAAAAGCAAAGCAGTAAGGTGGCAATAAAATATGAATCATGGTTCCCAGGATCAGTAGCATTGTCAGAATGTACATATCACTGAGTATGACACTAACAGTTGTTGTGTTCTCCAGGGGGGAGGGATGTGCTAACCTAGGACTGAGCAGACGTTGAGGTATAGAAGGGGAAAATAACGCTATGTCTTAGAGCCAGTCTGGCTCAAAAAGTTACATTTGGAAGAGTTGTAGTTGGTTCCAGGTATAATCCAGCAGATAAAGTAGCATCAACAAATTGAGGGAAGCAATTTCTGTCTTTGATTCCATCCTTAACAGGATGAGTGATGTTGAAGAAGTTTATCGACCTTTATATATCAACTTCTCCAGAGTGAACTAGTGAAATAACACTCAACTTCCCTCACTTGTATGTGTTTCTTCATAAGACTAACATTTATAAAAGGTTTCAGTCTCTTTATAAGGAAGAACTCTGTAATAATAGCAATAGTAATAATAAGGACTGTAGTCATTTTCTACCACAAATGTTCAGGAAATAAAATGAATAGTGTCACAGAGCAATTTGCTAAACTATATTTTGTAAGTACAAATAGGAATTTTCTGCATCACATGCAATTCAGTCTATCGAATTAGGATGAACAGTAACCAAGGACAATACAATACAGCAGCTGTAATTTAATGATCACACTAGACAGCCTCCTCCCACATAGCAAGAGGTTATCATAATTATTTACATTTGGGTGTAGAAAGAAGACAAAATGTGTCATCTTTCTGGTTACTGCTTACATTAAAAAAAGGAAATGCTCCTCTCAAAAGGGTGCAGTCAGCACTATGAATTATTCCTTAGATGCTGTTGTAGGAATCTCACAGGATGAGAACCTTAATTAAGTTTTAATCAATCAATCGATCATTAATGTTGACACTGGAAGCATATATTTATATCCAATAAATAATTTCTCTAATTTAAGACAAGAGGTTCTCTTGGGAAAAGAAAATCTTCCAAAGATGTAGAGAAAGGAAATCATGACTTTTGATGTTTCGCTGCAGCCACATGTCCAACAGTTGGCTGACACACTTTTGAGAGTACACTGGAGAACCACAGATTCTGAGGAATCTACACCTTGCCTCTAGTTTCTTCCACTCTCAGAATTTCCATGGTTTATACTTGTCTGTACACTGCTCCCTGGATATAGATAGCTGTTTACAGAACATGTATTAAAACCAGGGAGAGTAAACAGAATATCTGTCTGAATTAACTTGAAGCAGAAACCTTTTCCTGTCCAGCCACTTTGGGATAATCACATTTTTATTTGACTAGACACAAGATTTAGGGATGGAAGATGGTCATAGAGGTGCTTTTTCCAATCTTGTAATGAAATCACCTTCTTCTATTTTTACAACATTTTCTAACACATTGAATTGAGCAAGAGTTTAAGAAAAGTCCTGCTTTGGTGTGTGTTTTCTGTCACGAATGTGGTTTTAAGGGTGAAAATGTACTCCATGTTCATGAATACATCCTCACCAGTTTATAAGGGGAAGTGAGGTTATGAAATTCAGCAAGCACATCTGAGCAAACCATGTGATTAGGATGATGGGGATTTCTAGCTTTATTTAGGAGAAAAGGGACTCTGAAGGGCCAGGACCAGGACCAGTTAGGCCAAATGTAAAGCAGATCAGAGTTTTAAAATGCACTAAAAAAAAGCTCAGAATATTTATAAAGAAGGTATATGGAGTCACTTTTAGAAGTAAGAGAATTGGGCAACTAGATGAAAGTAGGAGGTTACTGGGAATATTTTACCTAAAAGTGAGCTTAGAGATCTATTTACCTATTTCACGTCTGTTTTGAGATCATGCTCTGAAAACTATTTAGTAACCAGACTTGTTACTTTGGTTTATTTTATTTTATTTTTCTTTAAGTTCTGGGATACATGTGCAGAAAAATATGGAATGCTTCACTAATGTGCGTGTCATTCTTGTGCAGGGGCCACGCTAATCTTCTCTGTATTGTTTCATGTTAGTGTGTGTGTTGGTGAAACAAGCACCAGACTTTATTCTGTATTCTCTGAATACCAGGTATTTGATTAGATTTAGCAAACAAGTTACTTATCATGTTATATGATGCTTCCCAAACAGCACAGTAAAGCTGCATTTCATTGGAAGTCAACTATTGTACTCAAATTCATATGAGCTACACGAGATAAATAAAAAATACATTCATCAATTTAAACATATTTATTGAGTGACTACAATATGCCAGGTACCATTCTGGGTGCCGAGTACACAATGAGAGCAACTGCAAATAGTGCTGATTTTATTTTACTGGGGAAGGAGACAGATGGTAAACATGGAAAACATGCACTGTGTCAGAATATCAGAAGTTTATGGTGGAAAACAAAGCAGGAAGGGGGCCTATGGAGTGCCAAGCCTGGTCGATGGAGTGAAGATGTGCAGTGTCATCCAGTAAATTCTAAGATAGGTGCTCTGAGAAGGTGGCATTTAAGCCATGACTTGAAGCTCAGATGAGCCCACTGTCAATGAAACTTAGTTGAATTTTAAGTTGATTTTTTTATCTTTATCAATATAGATTCACTCTCATGAAGTACATAATGTAAAATACAATTATTACATCTTGTCTTATGTTTTATCCAAGAAAGGCTGCAAATGTAAGATCTTGAGGAATTTAACTTTCTTAAATCTTCACACTTCTCTATGAAAGCACTTACCCCGTAAGAAAAAAATGTAACATTTGTCTTTTACTGAAATGCAACCCAGTGTGTGGCAGACAGTAGAAGAGTGAGAACTAAGAAACCTGGGTTTTAGTTGTGTGATTATATATTAATTATTAACTTCAGTTTGTTCATTTGGGAAATCAGGGCATGAAACTATTTCAATATTTTCAAAAGGAGCACAATATTCCACGGAGCACTTGTGCTGGAAACACTTTGAAAATCAAGAGTGGACAATTAAATTTGGAAGCATCATGTATCAGATGGCCTCTAACTTAAGAGTCCAAAGGCATTTCAGCAGGTTAAAGAAAATGAGGAGGTAGAATAATAATAGGAAGTAGAATAAAAGGAAGCTATTTAGTAATAAGGTTTGTTTAACTCAAAGATTCCTAAACATATTAGAAGAAACTCGGGAAACACTGAAATAAATCAAATGCTAATGTTCTTACAGTTAAGAAATTCTATAAGAGTTCTTTTTCATTGTTAGTTCCATTCTACTGTATCCATAAAGATTACCTAATTATGCAGAGATTGACAACCACGTGAAAATCTCAAACACTTAAAACAACAAAACTTATTCCTTACTTACGCATCATATGCATAAGTAAGGCTCTAGCCTTTGTTCCACAGTTTTCTCCCTGCATTTTCCAACAAGGTGCAACTGCAGTCTAGGGCATGATTCGTCACTCTGGCATAAAAAAGAGAGGCTACTGTGACCAGATTTGAAGTGCATTTAGAAGTATATGCTTAATTTGTGCTTGAAAAAGCAGTTATTGGTGAAAGCACTAATGAATCCACGTTTACCTGCTGAAATAACCTCATGGTTATATTAAATCTAATATATGCTAGATTTTATAAATTTTATGTCACTGACTGCTGGCTTTTGTGGTATTCCAGTAAGACTTTATTCTGGTAGGCAATAGGTTACTTGTGGATAAACTTTATCTTTTTGAGACTTCAAGTTCATTTTGGATAGGCCTAGAGTATCATTTTTTCCTAATGCTAATTTAGCCCTGTTTCTGAGGTATGACCCTCCTTTCATGGCCTCTATTTTGATGATTCAAGGTTTCTCTATTCTGATTAGGGGAAATCTCAACAATTCTTGGCCATGTGTAAACTGAAGAGTATTCAGCACCCACTCTCCAGTAATTGTTGCTTCTGCAGAAGTTCTTGTTGCCTAGACTTCTGGGGATTCACTCCATGCATGCAGAGGTTTATATTAAGCCAAAGATTCAAGGAATTGCAATGCGTGTTTTTGGAACTCTTCCTCTCTATAGCTCCCTCCTGTAAATGCCCTGCGAATTCTACCCACCTCTTCACTCAGGGAGACCAGCAGGCTCAATTTGGATTTTCCCGTCCCTGTATTGCAGTATAGAAATTTTCTCTAGGCAGAAAGCCTGGGAAGCAATAAGTCTCATTTTTTTGGCTCTTTTCTGTCAAGGATCATAGTGCTGTCTGCTGCTCAAAGTATGAAAATAGTTATTTCCTATATTTTGTCCAGTTTTCTAGTTGTTTTTGGCAGGAGGCTAATTTCAAACCCTGTTGTTCCCTCATGGCTGGAAACTCGAGTTTCCTAAATCTAAATTTAGCCCTTGTTTTATAAATACTTTGTTTTTCAGCATGGCAAAGCATCATGTCTTGAATGTCAACAAATGGATTTCTTGTTTTTCCCTGGGAGAACAGAAAGCTATAAACATGAGAAACTCCGAATACTATACTTCCAATTTTCTGAAATGTAACCCCTGGAGCCAATGGGAAAAGTGTATGCTGACCTAAATAACTGTCAAGATATGTAAGCAAAGAGACCATTTCTAAGGCAACCAACTTATTTTTTCCTGAAGCATCAATACACAGTAAAAATATTCAGTTTCTAGAAATATTTGTCTTGAAGTCAAATAGAAACTAAAATATATTATCAAGGAAGTAGTACAAACCTAATCTGGAAACATAGCAATAATTTTATTATACATCACGTTTCTTGGTAAGCTAACTTGATACACTGGAATTATCAAGTATCTCTTGGTACTCATTATAACATTAAATAATAACCTTAAAACTTGCTATGAAAGGACCAAAATAGAATCTGTAGTTTGTCATGTTGCAATATCCTAGTGCCTAGAGCATATTAAGTCACCCAATAAATATTACTTGAATACTGGATGAATGAAAGAAAGATGATAAGAATAGGTGAGGTGCTATGATGCACTAAAAATTATTTCTTAGAAGGAAGGTGTTTCTCTTTACTTCCTTGAAGTAGTGAGTTCTGAGAAAGTATCTAAAGCTAAGAATGATTAGTTTTAGCATCACACGGATGAATATACTTCTCACAAGAATTCTGGAGACTGCAATAATAATAATTACTATTATAAATATAAATTGTACAGTAATGTCATAATAATAAATAATGAATAATCATGATAGCAAATAATGATAGTGAATTATTCTTGTGTACCTTCTATGCATCAAATACTGTTCCATGCACTTATAATGTTTACCTCATTGATCCTTTACCAGACTATGAAATGGATACTACTACCCCATTTTTATAGTTACAGAGACTAAGGTATAGGGATAATGAGTGACTTGAGCATGGTGATGGAGCAAGTTAGTGTCAGATAAAGGTTGTAAATCTACAATCTGGTCCTAGTGCCATCAGTTTTAACCACAGGGCTATACTGAGTCTCTGTACACAGGGACAAAATATAAAGGAGCCTGCCAATATGAAAAGTATAGAAAATCCTTCCAGATGTTAAAATATAAAACTAATGATGAATTTTAATTTAATTTTTTTAATTTTAGTAGAGACAAGATCTCAATATGTGGCCCAGGCTGGCTTCCAACTCCTGAGCTCAGATGATGCTCATGTACTCCCAAAATTATAAGCATGAGCCACCCTGCCAGGCTTTAGATTTTTAGAGTCAGTTCAAGTGTTCTGTTCAATATTGGAAGTCCAGTGGCAGTCTGCTTCCATTCTATTTATTTCTCCATACACGTTGTGATGAATGATAAATTGTTTTCCTTTTATTTTATTTATTCCTGTGATTTAGCTAATGGAGAAGAATAAAAGGGTTAAAGTTCACAGGCCCAAAGCAGAATTTACCAGAAATGAAGATATGTGTAATAATTTCCAAATTGTGTTTACGGTTACCATTTTATTCTATCGATTGGAACTGTACTCAGCAAAGGGGATCATAGAAAGGAAATAAGAGAGAATGAGAAATTGAAACAAAGCATTGATGGAAGTTTCCTAACAGCAAAAAACGAGAAGGCTGTGCCATCCCAGGGGAAGTGGGGGTGGATCTGATGCCTGAAACAATGAGAGCTGTGATGGAATCAATGGCAGTGGATCCCGTAATTACTAAATTAGACTGTTCCATTTCTGGATAATGCACGCTGCATTTTGATCTTGATTTAAAATCCAATTAGTTCAGGATCATCATTCCTTTTAGTTCTAGCTTCTCTGTGGTGACTTTGAGACCAGACAATAGTGTAGTATTTTTGTGTTTGCCCTTTTATGTCTTTGAAGACATGGTTTTTAAAATCTATGGCAACAGGTGCCCTCTGCTCCCAGTCTTACATATTTTCCTGATTACTCTCTTGGTTTATTCTCACATTCTCTCAAGTCATAGTAATCAGTGAAATGCAACATTGATACACACTTGGCTTTTCCAATAAATGATGACAACCAACCATGAAACACTTGTCTTTGAAATCACTGCTACCTTTAATTAAAAAAAAGTTTTATTTATTAGATAGTTTGCCTTCGTGGATTGGTGTTATTCTTAAATCTCTTTCTTTCCTTTATGAAATTACAGGGGTAAGTCTTATATCATGAAAAAAAAAACATTTAAATAAAAAGAACATTTACGTTTGTCCTGTGTGAGAGATGAAGACTTCTGACAACATGGCATTTATTTTTTCATTTTCTAGCGAGGGTAAGAAGGGAACTTCAGGCAGCTCATTGAAACAGCTTCAGTTTGCTCACGTGACTATAATAGCAAGTAGTTCATTGAAGATAATCTGAAATAGTTTCAGCAGAAAGACTTTAGGATTTATATGTTAGAAATATATAAACCTGTGGTTCATGATTATGAAATTATTTTGAATGTAGTTTTGATTTTTCTTGTTGAATACACAAAGAGAAACCACTGCAATTGTGGTATAATATAAATTATAAAAATATAATTTTCATACTGAAGCATGAATAGTTATAGTCTACAATAATTTTATGCCACAAGAAAGAAAACAGGCACTGTTTTCCTCCGTGGGCTTGCTGAAGAAAATGTGAAACACTGATTGAGAGCTACTTGTTAATT